ATCATTATTATTTATTTGTAAAAAAAAGGATTAAAGATAAATTTTCTTTATTTCTATTTATTTAAGAACTTTGACGGTAAAACAAAAGTTGAAAAAAGCGATTAAAGTTGTTAATAAATTAATGTAAAGTATCAGTGAGATTTTTTATCATTTATCATTTATAATATAGTAATGTTATTGACTATGTTATATTCATATCAGTAATGATATATTTATATTATTTATATATTTATGAGAACAAAAGATAACTAAGTAAAATAATAAATTATATTATAAAAATATTAGAAATAGACAAGAATGTTTTTTATTGAAAGATAATTTCTTTTATATATTTTTTTGAAGCCAGTAATTTAAAAGAAATTTTAGGTTATTTATATATAAAGTTATTATAAAGTTATATATACCTATATAACTATAAATATATTTACTATGTATTTAAAGCTTTTAATTTTTTAAGAAGTAGTTTTGAGGATGTACGGAACAGTTTTGGACGAGTTGTGTGCCAAAACAGTTAACACGGATCCTCAACCCTCATCCCCACTCTGATATTTTCATTGTTGACAATAAATAAAAAATTAGTATAAATTATTTAAACGGTGTTTGTTAATTTTGACCTTTGTATAGAATATCAACACGTTTAGCAACATTAGTGGACCTATAATCAATATCATTGCTTCAATATACCGTCAACTGGAGTTACTTTACTCCGTTTTTAATGGTTATTTTACTGCAGTTAAATTTAGGCATGATAAAAAATTTGCTTGATGAATTAAATTGATTTTATCAAGTTCTAATATGTTGTCAAAACTGGTTTATGAAGAAAAATTTTTTTTTTTAATTCAATATGTTTTGATTGAGGTTTTAAATTTGGTGCAAAGGAGCCCCAATGAGAGGATTACTTTGCATCACATAATGAAAATATGTTTTTAATGTTAAAAACAAAAAAACTCTCCCCAAAAAGGTTATTTTAGTATATAGAATTCCACAAAATACTATTTTAAATAAGTACAATACTTTATGTAGCTTAAAAAATGGTTTTAAAACTAAAAACATAAATCTTACCCAGAAAGTAGATTTAAGTATAAAATTTATTTCAGGAATTTCACAAAACACTACTTTAAATAAGTAAAACACTTTCTTTTAAATAAACAAACATTACCTTGCAAATAAACAAACTTCAATGTTGTATATTAATGTTTATTCATATTTCCCACCATCAAACAACCATGGTACTAATAATATCCCTCTTTAGCTTAAAACTTTAGGTGGGCTTATTTCTCTAACTATCCTATCCCATGCGTAAAAAAGTCCGGTTTTTTTTCAAAGGCCATTTAGCTTATTAATTATTGTTTTTCTTGGTATGTTAAACAGATTTGAAGCTACACGTTGACTGAGTGTTCCTTTTTTTAGTTCCTTTTTTGTAATGCCTTACCATCCTTAAAAATAATTTGCATCTGTTAGCAACGTTTTAAACCATTAAATGTAAAAAATTATAACCTGACGTTACTTTTCACCATTCTCTTAACTGGTGCAAAGTAGCCCCTTTTTCATCAAAGTTTGACTCTATTTTTAAATAACACTTTTATAAATAACAAACTAATTTAAACTTTTTTTGCATGATTTAAACTACAGATGGTTTCTACTCATAAAAAAACTAAACTTATTAAAAATTGATTTAGTCCTCGTGTAGAAACACGCCACTTTTGAAGGGGAAAAAATTCGGTATAAAAAATGGCTTCCACAAATATTAAAAAAACAACACATAAAATGACAGCATCATTCAAATTTTATTCTGAAAGTTGAAGATAATGACCCAACAAATAAGAAAAAACCAAATAGTTTGAAAAAATTAATTCTGCTATTAGAGCTGGGTAACTACAAAAACCTTTCAAAAGTGGTGCAAAGTTATCCCCGATGGAGTAAAGTAGCCCCGGTTGACAGTAGTCAATATTATATTTCGAATAGCCTTGTTAATTCCACAAAAGTTCGTTTTGAAATTTCTTAAATATATTTATATAATAAGTTAGTATATTTTAAAATATATTCTTATTTATTTAACTTTTAATTAATAGATAAATTAATTAGTAAATTGTCAACAAAATTCCAAGAAATTAAGTATATTTGTCAGTTGATGATTATTTACTTGGGCGGTGTTATACAGTGTTTTCATTATAAAATACATGATACTTTTAACCATATAAGATTTACTTTCTTAATGGAATTTAAAATAACTTTTTAAGCAACAGTTTTCACAATAATGTTGTTTCTTTTTTTTATTTTAACATGAATCATGAAATTTTAAAATGCGAATGAGAATAAAACATTTACAACACCGTTGTTTATTTTTTCCTGATAATGACGTTTAACTGATCTTGTATTGAGGCAGGTGTTGCACCTTTATATGGTAAATACAATTTATCTATGAAAAAGAAAAACTTTTCCACATAAACTGAGTTTAATTCAGATTTAGTTTAGTTATTAAGAGCTAAGGTCTGGGTTTAAAAACTTTAAATATTTTTACTTCTCTTATTTTCTCTTATATATGCATAACCAGGTTTTATGATTGCTTATGCTAAAGGTTGAAAGTATATTTAAGGCCGGCGCGATGGGGGTGTGACACCCCCTCCCCCATTTGTTCGTTCATTTAGTGGGCAAATTTAGCCCTTTTAGACAAGTCAGTCAATGTTGACTAGGCAGTGGGCAAATTTAAAAAAATAGGAATCTTCTTTTTTTTTTTTTTTTTTTTGTTTGGCAAAAGTTGTAATTTCAGCCCCCTCCCCATCTCCACGTGACACCTACTCGCGCCTGCCCTGCTTATATTTATAATGGTATCTTTAAGTTAAATACGTAATTTCATATGAAACTGTTTCGTGCTTAAAGTTTTCAAGCAGTATTTGAATACTAAAAGAAGATCAATCTAGGACTAAGATATTAATAACGAGGTTCGAGTGTCTATCAGTAAGATATACTAATAACCACTCCCAGCAAACATTCTATAGCGGAATTTCAGGAGACCTTTATAAAGACTTTGAGTTTGAGACAAAAAGTGGTTAGACGATGACAAGCAACTATATCACATTGTGGAAAATTATTGGTAGGCTACTTATAGTAGATGTTACTAATAGTCCAATAAGTAACCGATGAGCAAATTTTCAATGAATCGCTCAATATGCCTATATAGGTCCACTGCAAATCCACTATAAAAATGTTTTCTGAGCTGGACTCATTTTATGACAAAAAAAAAATTGCGATACGAATAATGTCAATATGGACACATTTGAAAAAAATTTTAACTTTTTATAAGTCATTTAAGTTTTATAACTTTTTATAAGTCAAAATGTACTTTTACATTAATAAAAACTGCATTCCTAATAATTCACTTTCTAAGTTAGACGTTCTCTTAAACAATTTTTAAAACGTATTCCGTAAACTGATGAGAAACGTAGGTTATGCAAACTAAAAGAATTTCAAGAAAAACTTTTTTTAATTTTTTTCTTTATTTGTTATTTAGGTGCCTCAAGAAACCCTAACGGTCTGGTCACAGAGCACCGCGGAAGTGCATTTAACAAGAAAGTTCACGCCTCCTTCCTTACCGTGACGCGAAATATGTCTAAAGCTCGTTTCGAACCTGGTTCTCCTGTTTATAAAGCAAGCGCTCTATCCACTGCGCCACGGCCACGACTTTTCCATTGTATAACCTAAAAACTGCAAATCAAAGAGGGTAAAAGTTATTTAATTTACTCGTTACAACACAACCATTAGTTGAATGGTGACTCGAAAAAACTAAACTCTAAGATTTCTTTCCTAAAAATATAGTAAAGATTTTACTTTTTATGATTGACGGAAAAATTGAAAATAAGAGACAACAAACTCGATATTTTAGAGCGTGGATAGAAAACAGTCCACTATGTTTGTTTTTATTTTTTTGTTGATTATCGTTCTTAAACCACTCAGAAAATAAGAGTTTACTGTAAATTTGTGTCATCTTGTTTTGTGTTTTAAAAGTAGTTTTATTTATTTTGTATACTTTATTAAAATTGAATTTTTATACATCAAAGTCCGTATTTAAAAAAGATGTTACTGAGCTTTGACTTATGCTCAGTAAATTAGGATTGGTTTCGATTGATTTTCTTAAGTTCGGATAATTCAATTTATTTTTCTCTTATTTTGCCATTTAATATCATTTACAACTTAAAAGTATATAAGTAAAAACACTGGTGGGGCAAGTAGAAGACATTATTTTGTCATATCACTGAACCCCAATCGTACGTATTTACAATAACCCTATTATATATGTATACTTTACAATTTATTTATTGAAAACTATAAATGTAAAATAAATAATAATTAGTACAAGAAATACTTCAAAAATAATATTGGAAGTTTTAACGAAGATGAAATGTGAAAACACAGCGCATTCTAGTGAACTTGAACGTTTCGATTTAATACAAATTTGTTTTGATATCAAAAAGCTTAACTAAAACTTTTTATTAAAAGTTTTTTGTAAATTGTGAATTGAAAATCTTAGTTTAAACCTTCGGCTTCGATAAATCTCCGTTGCATCTGTAATACACAGCATTTATATATATATAATTTTATATATATATATATATATATATATATATATATATATATATATATATATATATATATATATATATATATATATATATATATATATATATATATATATATAAATATATATATATATATATATATATATATATATATATATATATATATATATATATATACATATATATATATATATATATATATATATATATATATATATATATATATATATATATATATATATATATATATATATATATATATATATTTACTGAAAGTGTAAAATACTGACTAGCCAGCTATATTCCTTAATAAACCGAAAATAGTATTTTTTGGGGGGAGGAGGCATCACAACGCCTCACACACACCAGTAAAACCTCTGCATTCAAAAAAATAAAATTTTTATTGAAAATTAAAATTCTTACCACAAGAAGACATAATAATTAGAGCTTAAGTGTCTGACTAATTTTTATTTGTTTGCAACTTATGGAAGAACATGAAGTTAAAAGTTTAGAACATGGAGCTCAAGAAAAACTAAAAACCATTTAAAATAAATGTTTTTTAAGTTAAAATAATAGAAAGCATGTGCAATCCATTCTTTTATTTTATATTTTAACTCAACGTAATTTATAATTGATGTTTTTTTTTTGAAAATAAAGAGTTATATAACTAATTTAGTTATTCTTATTTCTAACAAAGCACAATTACTTTATTTTACTAATTTAGTTTAATGAAGAGTAAAAAAAAACAATTTTAAATAATTTGAGAGTATCTTTATACCGAGAAGATTTTTTTCCCCTTCTTTTTCAATTGATTGACAGTAATCGGTTCATTTCTATAAAAATTTTAAGAAAACCTACTGATGATTCGTAGTTTCATAATTTCTACACTTAATAAAACACTTACAAACGTTTTGATTTTAAAGTTCTTTTTAATGAACTATATATGCATATCATGATAGTAATTTTATTGAGTTGTTTTAATCTTACCAATCTTTTAAATCTTTTAAAGTTAGCGATTTAATTGGGTTATTTAATAATTTGTTTACTTATAATTAAATGATTATTCATAATTAAATTTGTTTGCTTAAAAATTAAAGTTAGCAATTTAATTGAATTATTTAATAATTTGTTTTTAAAGTTTACTCATAATTAAATGATTATTCATAATTAAATTTTTTTGATTAAAAATGATTACCTATAATTTATTTTTTTATCAGCCAAAATAAAAATGTAAAAAAAAATTATATTAGTAAGTAAAAATAACTAAATTTTGAAATTTTTTTTAATAGAGAGATTTAAAGAGTATAAAGCTTATAAAATCTCTTGATAATATGTTTTTATACTTTTATCTCTTGATAATATGTTTTTATCTCTTGATAATATATTTTCATCTCTTGGTAATATGTTTTTATCTCTTGATAATATGTTTTTATCTTTTGATAATATGTTTTTATCTCTTGATAATATGTTTTTATACTTTTAAAAGTTTTTCCTATTTCCTATTGTGTAACGATTTTTTATTATTATTAAGTATTTTATTGTAAAACGAATTACTCTAAAATGTGTAAAAAAAATTAATTAAAAAAAAGTAACAAAAAACTGGAGCAAGCCGTTCACAAAACAATAAAAACGGAACGTTTTTTATTTAGCATTTTATTTCTTATATAAAATAACAGTTACTGTTAATATTAAATAGTTATAGAGACATAGATGATACCGTATGCGACCGCAAATTTCATAAAAATATTTTTTGACCAAAAATTAATGCAAAATGACAATTTGTATTAATTTTGGTCAAAAAATGACAATTTGTAAGTTAAAAAAAAATTATTTATTAAAACGTGTACAGAAATTCATTCACTACATTTTTTTTTTCAATATGGCTTTCCTAAGCATTAATCACAGCTACAAGAAGCCTCCTGAACCTGGAACAAGTGGTCTGGATATAGACCTTGGGCATCTTGTTCCACTCCTTCTTGATGGCAGCTTTTAGGAAGTTAACACTGTTTTATGGACGTTGAAAACCTTTTGACTTTACATATGCCCAAAGTGAATAGTAAAGAGGTGACAAATTTGGATATCTGTGTCAAACAGTAGAACCAATTGTTTTATTAGTGATAAATCAGTCCAAGCAGTCCCAGAGCATGTAAATTATACATTCAAGACCAAAAATCTTGAATGTATAATTTACATTCAAGATTTGTAAGTTGCACAAAACTTGGATAAAAAATGCATGAAAGTTCCATTTCTGCACAGTTGAAAATTTTATTTCTGTACAGTTAATAATAAAATCACAATCTTAAATATATGAAGGGAATAAAACTACAACAGCACATCCCAAAAACAATTTTTGTTGATTTATAAAAATAACATTTGTGTACAAGGGACGTATTTTCACTAAAACTAATGTAAAGTCAGTATAGTCATGAAGGTCTAATAAATTTTTCACCAAAACCACTTTTTATGGAAATATGACTGCTATGCCATCATAGGGGCCTTTCCGCTAAGTAAATAAACATCATAATTATTTTTATGTATTTGCATGATCCCGAAATTCAATCACAACTTTGCGTTGATTCGACATGGAGTTGATCAGAATTTGAAAACTTTAAAAGAAATGTTATTTCTAATCACCGTATAAGAACAATTTAGTCTTATGAATATAATATCAACATGTGTACCACAATTATGTAAAAAAATTATTAATTTATGTTTAAGATTTTTATTATAAAAAAACTTTTAAAAATAAAAATTATAAACTTTTGTTATAAATTTTTTTTTTCTTTCGATTTAACTCATTTAACATTAGTTTTTGATAAGGTTTAAACTAAATAAATTGATGGGCCATGAAGCAAGACCATAAGTTGAAGTAAAGTTTTAAAATCCCTCAAAATGAGGGGTTTATAAACTTTACATGTTCATAACTTTTGAACATTAGAACTCTATATGATGAAATTTGAAACTTATTTATAATATTGAAACTAGTTTCAAATAGTTTTACTCAGTTTATGCAACTCATTAAACTATACTTACCTTAAACCTTTAAATATATCCTTACTGTAATATATTACCTTGACAAGTCATTTAATCAAACCCAATTATTATTAGCCAAGTATTGGGCTTCCTCGAAATACATATGACTTGTCAAATATATTTTGAGGAAGAGCAGATGAATTTCACAGTTACTTGAGCAACAATTTTTGTATTGTAGACCCGTGGTTGCAATTATTTTCATTTCAGTATATTCTTCGAGAATAAACTAAAAAAATCATTTTGAAGACGCATCTTTGAAGATATGTATTCAATTATTTATTTAGAGTTCATAATTATCTATTTAAAGTTCTAATTAAATTCTCTTTCTATTACCTTGTCTATAGCTGCACCTAATTTTGATTTTTTTTATTAAAACATTTTTGCTTCTTTTTTTTTTTCTAAGCGTTTTATTTACTTTCTTTGTCATTATATGCCTTTTGTTACGGTGTGTTCTTTCAATAATTATCTTATATATATGATAATATTTATTTTGTGTTCATATTTTTAATATTCAATAATATTTTTACTGTTAAATATTGGATTATGTTAAAAAGCTGGATTTTTTTCGGCTTGTTTCCTTTTTTTTTTCTCGTACACCATTAAATTTATACTATTTTTTTCTACTCCTACCTTCTAGTTTTTATTTAGTTGATCGTTTAAGTTCCTTTCAAAGATTTTAATTTTTTTATTAATTAGTATATCTTATTTATATTCTATAGTTCTTAGTAAATCTTTAACATATTTTTGAATGTCTTGTTGTTGTTGTTTTTTTCAAAATGTCTGCTCAAATGTCTGCGACCATTTCTGCTGTTGTTAAGCGAGAATGAAATTTCTTGCAAAGAATATGTATCAAATTTTAATTAAATTGCATTTATGGTTTTAAATTAGAATTTGACACCTCAAAAAATGTAGTATGGTATGATATTATTAAAATAGTGATATATACAATGAAAACTTGGTCAAACTGTCTACATTAATTTACCATCCTAACCGAAATGCCGAATCTATGCCGAAAGAATTGTGTTTAAAAAGCTGCAAATTGCGTGTTAAAAAATTGACAATGTAATGAAACTATGTATGAATCTGAAAAATAACTTAAATAAAACAATTTTTCTAATGAAAGTAGATACTGGAGTTTTTTATTGATGGAATATGGCAAAAAAGGGGATATGTTTCATGTAACGGGGTTACTGCAGAATTGTCACAAATGGAAAAGTTTTACATTTTAAGGCGTTATCTAGCAAACCTAAAATATGTGACAAAATTTAAAATACCATCATTTCATAACAGCAATACCAAGATACCAAGCAGAAAAAAAAATACATTAGCAAACAGGAAAAAAAAGGCACACAGTTGCAACAAAAACTATGAAGCCGGTGGCATGGAAACTGCTGTTATAATATAACTAATAGTTCATATAATATGTGTATTATTGATGTGGTGATGGTGATAGCAAAAGCTACACTATTGTGAAAAGCATATGCAAAGATATTAATGTTATTAAACTGGATTGTATTAGACGTTTTCAAAAGTACATCGGATCTTGTTGTCAGCAATTGAAAAAACAAGTCAAGACCTTAAATGTTAATGGCTTTTTAACAAATGCCTTATTTGATCAACTATAAAATTTGGAACCTACATTAGGAAAAAATTCAGCAACCTAGAGTTGATGAGATCTTCAGTCATAAAAGTTTTACTACATGTAATATCTTCTTTCAGAAGAAAATATGTATAAGACTGCAGTCTCATACATAAATTTTAATGAAAATGTCTAATAAAGTAAATTTGTTAAAGTATTGTTAATTTTATCATAGGCACCATGGTGCACATCACATCATGGTGCACATGATTAAAAATAATAATAATAATATGCTTCTTTTATTAGATATGTTTTGTATTACTGTTGTTGTACTATATTTTTTCCTCCAATTTTATTTATATTTTTGGCATTTTTCTCAGAACGTTAGAACATCCGGCAAAATCATTTTTAAAACCGACAACTTTTTAAAAACAATTTTTTTAAACAGATAGTTAACAAACGTTTATAATTTTTGTGCTTAATATGATTGCCAAAAACAAATATGTTTACCACCTGAGAGCAAATAAATAGGTAAATAGGCAAAAACTTATTTGAATATATATTTTATCATTAAACCGATTGACTACAATCTTTGCCCGTAAGACTAGGGACTAATTCAACTTTAAACCTTAGTTACCAGCCAAAAGTTGCAACAGAGTACTATATTTTATGAAAGAACTTCTTGATAATTAGTATAATTTCATTCAAAACATGTAACAACTTAATAAAATAATTTTTTGAGGGGTTTAAGGTTTTTAACATAATAATAATTTTTTTTCAAATGTCTTAAATGTAATCCAAATAAAAATAAAATAAATCCAAAATAAAATATCTGGGTAATCCATATAAAACTTATGATTTTTAGATTCCTCGTGTTTTACTCATCAAAAAATTAAAAAAAATGTTGTTTTTTTAATTTAAAGTGACACTTAGAGTTATAAATTACCTATAGAAATATCCAGTTACCCACTGGGTATTTTTCTGTACAAATATTCTATGAAAACCTTGATCATATCATTCTGGACTAGAGAAGAAACAAACGAGATATTTGAAAAAATATCTGCTTTCAAAAAATTTAAATAAAAAATTTTGCAAGTACATTTGCATAGCAACGTATTTTTTCAAACAATCTTCATATTCAAGTAGATTGTTAAAAATGTATTTGAAGGGGTTGGGTTTGCCTTTCTTTGGAGATTCGTACTCTGAAAGTCAAAACTTTTAAATAACGGAAAAAAAAATTTTTAACTGATTAAATTGCATCACTGATTTAGGCTTCAAAGAACATTTCATGGTTTTTATAAATTAGCTTTTATTGTAAGGATTTTGTAAAAGTTTTGCATTATGTCAATTTTTATTTGAGTTTATGCGTAAGTGCCGTTTCTTTACCGCTCCGTTTAAAAATCAAATAATCAAAAGTATATAATGTATATAAAATGGAAATATATATATATATATATTTATATATATATATATATATATATATATATATATATATATATATATATATATATACATATATATATATATATATATATATATATATATATATATATATATATATATATATATATATATATATATATATATATATATATGTATATATATATATATATATATATATATATATATATATATATATATATATATATATATATATATATATATTTATATATATATATATATATATATATATATATATATATATATATATATATATATATATATTTATATATATATATATATATATATATATATATATATATATATATATATATATGTATATATATATATTTATATATATATATATATATATATATATATATATATATATATATATATATATATATATATATATATATATATATATATATATATATATATATATATATATATATATATATACATATATTTGTTATTTTGAGAACTTTATTTATTTGGTCCACATTTTCAGAGTTTCGATGCGGAGGTGATATTTTTGAGTTTAATAATCTTTGATCTATGCACAATACACAAACCAAAAAAAAAAAAAACCAAAAAAAAAAACAAACACAAACAAAAAAAGACATCAACAAGTAAAAAATAATGTTGACTAATGAAATAATTTCTTAGGGGAATGTTCGATTTTTTATACTATGAAAAATATACTTTTTAAATATCTGACTTTCCGTCCAGTAATAAAGTATTTCTACTATCTAATTTTTTTCATGATGGTTTTTTTATTCGCTATGGTTGCAAAAGGTAAACGTTTAAAAAAATTTATTTTCTATCATGTTCATTAGCAAAAATCTTAAAAATTAAAAAAAGTTTTAAAGAAATATATTTGTTTCCAAGTTAGGTTGTAGTGAAATGTGATGTTTTACGTGCCTAGATGCTTTTGACGTCGACGTTTATCTTTTTGGAAAGACAACAATAAAGCATAAGTGGTGGTTCAATCGTCTTTCTAATTTGCCGACAAATGAATCAGAGGATAGTGACACTAAATTCGAAACAAAATGCGTGAGCAATTATTTTAATCAAACATTACTTATAATCGCTTTTGGTGCAACAAGTGAGTATGAATCCATACCCTTATTTGAAATGCTCTACAAAAAAGCCTTTTTAAATCGGATTTATTGTGGAAGCGTGCCTTTGAATAATCAGACTGAAATCAATGTTAAAGTAGTGGATACAAAACACGGAGCGTTTCTTTATGATTGTTTAACAGAAGTAATGAAAACTCATACAAATTTCACTGGATATTTATTTATTGGCGAAGAAATCCTTCTCAACTATTGGAATATGATTGAATTTGATTTAGGACGTATTTGGGAAGATGAAAATACAATAGTGGGACCGAATTTATATGAACAAACATTTAATTTATGGGAATGGTGGGAAAGTCCGTGGGGCGTAAGAGCTGTAGAAAAAGTATACGAGTATTTGATAGAACTAAATTATTATGAAAATAGACGGTCAAAACTGACGCAAGGAAACTGGATTCCAGATTGGGATGCAGGACAAGCTCTAAATGCATGGCTGTGGAACGGCAGTGGAGAATTTTCGTGCTATTGGACTAATAAATCTGTCTTATATCTACCACGAACATTTTCTGATTTATTCCTCAATATTTCGAAACACTTCCGTCATAGCGGTGTTAGACATGGCATAGCAATACCTACTCTAATTAGACTTATGACTCTTCAAGAGAATAATATAAAATTAACTTCTACTGAAGTAAATCAGAAAAACTCAGATGATTTTTTAAAAAATCGAGATGTATTAACTAAAGCATCTCAACAAACACACATTATTTCAATCAATTGCGAACGCAAAGAAAGGAGGTTTATTCTCAACGATCTAAGACTGAAAGAGTATGTCGTGGGTAAATTTCTAGAGTACAGCCAATGTTAAGAATTATTAGTTCTTGTGTATAAATGTCAAAACACAATTTTCGAGTTTGTATTTATGTAAAGATGTTTGATCTTTAAAAGATTTTTACAACATTAAATTATAGTTCTTTCTTATTATTTTTATCAAATAATTTTATTTTTACAGAATTGGCTGACTGTTGCAAACATCTTTAAAAAAAACTTGATAAAAAATTGACATCTTGAATTAGTTAACCTCAAGTTGTCAAATCAAATGCCTGCACTAATGTTTTATAAATTTCTAATTTTCTTTCTTAAGCATCTTTATACAAACTTTATTGAAAAACGCGAAGTTTTCAAGGTTTTGGCAATTTTGAAGAATGCTGCGTGCTGCGAGTCAAAATGTAGACTGCTTACTAATAACAAACGCATGGATTTGTTTACTGATAATACAAAAAAGTCTTCCTCATTCATGTATGCGATTTTGGTATAGAATCTCTAAATAAATATAAACAATTTTATAATAATAATTTTTATTCTAAAAAAGAATTAGCAACAATTAATTACCTTTTTGCTTCAGTTTCTAAGGAATAAACAAAATTTGTCTCTTGCTTGCCCACGCATACTTGATCGGTAGCTCCGCATTTTTTATAATCGGTTGTAATACACATATCTGATTCTCCTTCCCCATCTCCCATATAAGTTTCTTGAGCTGATGGACCTGACCAACACGATGCTAAAATGAAATTATATTTTTTTGCTAGGACTTTCTTTTCGCTTTCATTTAAACATCTCAAAACATTTTTTTGACAATAATTTTTTTACCAAAGAACTGAACACCAAATATTTTATATCCATTTGCTTTTGCTTTTTCGGCGCATCTACATACAAACTCTGGCATATAGTGATTCCAATGAGCCCAGTCTATTGTCTTTCCAGAAAAACCAGGATATTTTTCGCTTCGATCATTCAATAATGGTTCAGGGAGCGGTCGGGGGTTATTTTGATCGTCGTTATAGCAACCAATTTTTATATAGTTAACTGAACAACCTAAATTAAAAAAATACAAACACAAGTTGTTTTATGTTTTTTTTAACACATTTCATTTTTAATCAACCAATTGTTACCGTAAGGTCCAAGTTGCGACACTTTTCGTCGAGCTTCTTCACTTTTTTTGTCTAAAATTTGTTAATTAAAAACAAAACTTAACTGTAAATTCTTGATAATAAATAATAGTTGATAGGTAATGAAAAATTTTGCTTTTAAAATTTTTGGCACCAAAATTAGGTATGAAATAAATATCAAAAAATAGAGATATTACTATTAAACGCTGTGTATAAACCACTAAACTATAATTTAAGCTCTGCAGGCGTTAATTAGATAAACGAAAACTAATATTCAAAATTTACAGGTATACAAGTAGGTACATCTTAATAACCTTTTTTTAATTTCGTGGCAGCCTAGGAACTCCTTAAAATCCTTTACTTTATAAATGCCATTGCAAACGTATTTTGATTTAAATTTATAAAACTGCTCTATTTTTGTTTTTCTTTTTTTCGTTGACCCATATATTTTGGTGACACGTATATTTTTCGTTTTGTTTATGTCTTTAAGTTTACCTTGATTACTGTTAGCAAACCTGGTGTAACGTCTAAATTTAAACTTTTTACAAAACTTTTATTTATTATCATCTGCGACTGCTCTGAACAGAATTTGCATTAAGACACTGCTTATTAAATGCTAAATTTTTTATTATTTATTTTTTTCCTCTGGACTTTCGCCTCTCCCTTTGAATTTAGTTTTCCAACAATAAAAAGTGTATTTCTTACTATGGTTATAAATTTTGATTTCGCCATTGCAGAATTACTTCTACTACTTTTATCTATAAAATATACAAGTTATAAAACACTTTCGAGTAGAAAAACACCTTAATAGTTCCCTTGCTAAATAAAAATACAGTTTTGAGTGCTTCATATGTTAAATTAACACAAAATATTATCTAATATAGAGGTCTGTCTAATTATATCATATCGAAATTCATCATTGAAATTATAGCTGTTAAGCGTTAATTAAGTTTCTAAGGTTTTTTGGGTTGTTCATATCTTTTCCTTTATATAAAGTTTAGAAAAATGTGTGTGCAAACACTATGGCCTTAAAACAAAATGTTCAAAAAATTTGCAATGAACCTGATCATTGAATCTAAAATTATTAATTAAAAACAAGTTGCGGTAGTTGGAGGCAGCAACCCAAAAAAGTAAACTTCTTTAAATTATAGAATTTTACTAAAAATCATAGATTAAAAAATATGGCCAAGGAAGGCATTAGGTATTATGTCTAATATATCTTACTAGGTAGTTTTCAAGTACAGAAAATTTCAGCTCTTTTTAAGTACCCATTTTTCACATATAGGGTGCTAAATTTTATTGTTGTTTTTAAGGAGTACCTACGTGTGTATGTGTATATATATATATATATATATATATATATATATATATATATATATATATATATATATTATATATATATATATATATATTATATATACATATATATACATATATATATATATATATATATATATATATTTATATATATATATTTATATATATATATATATATATTTATATATATATATATATATATATATATATATATATATATATATATATATATATATATATATATATATATATATATATATATGTTCCAATCAATAAGATTTTAACATTGCACGACGCTAGAAACCTAAATAATGCACATTGCAAAGTTGTTAACAAGAGGAGGTTATAAAGAAAAAAATTTATAATTAAAAATATGATCAAAACTTTGTAAGATTCAATTTTTTTGTTAATTTATTTATTTTATTTTCCACAGCAAAACAAAAATGATAACAAAAAGAAGAACGTACCTTCTTTGAACCGCAACCAACCCAATTAGATACTGATTCTTTACTCTTATCTTCTTCCTTTTTTGCTCAACCATTTAATTAAACTTGCCGTAAGTTTAATTAAATATTGTTAACGATATCGTATAATTTCGTTTAAATGTTAACGAAATCGATTAAAACATTAGAAATTAAAAATCGCGACATATTTACTAGCGTGCACTACTAGGAATTAGAGGCGGAGAATAATGGATACATTCAAGAACAAGTTATTTAAAAAGTCTTTACAAACGCATACTACGAGGAATAAAGAGATGGAGAAAAATCAGTAGATACTTTTAAGACCATGTTATTTTAAATAATTCAAATGAAATTATTGATAATTCATGACAGAAACAAGCGCGTCCAAAACAGTTAATTTTAATTGAAGAAAATAAAAACAAAAGTAACAAAAAATAAAGTTAATAATATTCAAGTGGCATTTGAAAAAACAGCAAAAATATTACTGCAACATATTACAAAGTTAAAAAGGAAAACAAAATTGAAACAATGCGCAACAAAAACCTACAAAGCAAATTATAGCAAGAGTAAAAATGATAGTGACGTAGGAGAAATGGGAAAGAAATGGGCTAAGAAACGAAAACAAACAGATAAACAAGCATGATTTTGTTTCTTAGCCCATTTTTTAAATAAGAAAAAAAAATACTACAATTAATTTAATAATTTATATTTTCATTGAAAAAAATGCATTAAATAAGATTTACAGTGTATAAATAAAAATAATTCACGTAACAGCCCTTATTTCAAGTTGTTAGCTTAGTTGAGATTTTCAAAAAATGGACTAAGAAACAATCAAATAGAGGCTGACGTAAATCTAATGAGGCATGCATGAAGGACCTGTAAAAATTTGTGTACCAAAATTTATTTAATATTTACAACAACAAAAATGAGGCCGGCGTATCATTAATTTTAATTCACTTCTAGCTGAATATTTAGCTTTGATAAAAACTTAATCAGATGAAGGCAGTTTAAAATGGTTGCTTAGAAAAAAAAAAATCCATGCTAGTTTAAGCCAAGATAAGTTTAAAAAAATAATGAAGGCTCATGCATGGGGTTTACGTAGTATCCTTAATAGACTCTGACGTTTGCTACTTGTACATTTCGGACAAATATCGCAAGACGGGCAGTCTGAGTATTCTAATCCTGAAAAACAACGTTTGGAAGCATAATCTTATTTTGTGTAAGTTTATTAAAAAGTGGTTTTACACTAATCTTTTACCCCCTCATAACCCCAAAAAGCAACACTTTTCTTGTCATAACAAAAAACAATTATATTTGTTTACCTGAGTTTATTTGATCCCTTGGTTGACCATTTGTAAAACCAAGATCCCTCGTATATGCTTGTGAATTCGATGCTTTAGATAGAGAGGTTTAATTATTATTAAATACAAAATTTTTGAAAGATGAAAAGTTCATAGTAAAGCCTTTATAAATAATTCATCTTATTAGGTGGCTAAAAAACAATTATTTCAAAATGCCTTCCATAATTTTGTTAAAAGAATTGGGCGTTTTTTAATCAAAAGATTGGGGATACGCCATGATATTAGTGATACACATTTGCGAGAAAAAATAAATTATTGTTATTTTTTTGGTTAGCCAAATTTTGTATAAAATTAAGAAATTAGTAATGTTTAAATCTAAAAAAATCAACTCCTGCATGCACGCAACATGTATGCAACTTATGGTGCAAGACTATGTCTTCAAATTTTTTAGTTTTAACTTTAGATGAGTCATATTATTTTTTACTCTTTTATTAAAAGTTTTTTTACTCGGCAAAACCGATAAAAGTTGTTTAATCATATCGTATGTGGACAGAGTAGGCTTAGAAACATGAACGCCACTTGGTAACTCATCCACAAGTTTTAATGTTGTTTTAAATTTATTTATTCTCGGATAATTTGTTGTAAATTTCAAAGTTGGGGAAGTTACCAAAAAATTACTATCAAGAGGGGCAAGTGTAGGAAGTGGCCGCGGAAGATCACTCCATTCACCCAATGACGGATTCACTATACCTGCTAATCTACAAGCTTTGGCAGCAATTTGAGGTACTACGCCTGGTAACTGCCAATACCCTTGTAATGGTAAAACGTGAGATTGATCATCAATAGTCGATGTGATCGTTTTTAATTCATCAACACCTGCAATTGGTGTAGCACCAACAGCAAACACATTTACACCCATCTGCTTAAGCCTCTGAGAAGGCTCAATTAATTGTTGATTCCAATTGATTGACGGATCTCCACCTAAAACAAATTGAACAAAATATGTGAAAAATAATAGCAACTATTTAATATAGCAATAACCTCACGATAATAAAACATTCTAAATATTCAGAACTAACAAACATTTTAGTTTAATAAAAAAGTATATATTAGTTTAAAAACTGACCATTTATTCTACCATGTTCCAACAAAAATAGCATCTTTGGAACTCCTGGTCTCGCAGTTGCAAATAAACGCTCACGTGCTATATCCAATGCAGCATCAGTCCTTCTTCTTCCATAAGGATCAGGAACTAATCTATTACAATGCAGTTTTAGCGCTGTAGGCTCACGATAAGTGTCTAAATTTACAGGAACTTTTGCAATAGTATCAAATGTTATAAGTCCTATACGAGCAATATTCCCCATTTGAAACTTATCAACTAAATTTCGACAAAATTGTTGATAATAAGGCCAGTTGGCAACAGTAGCAGCAGAAGTATCCATTGCTATACCAATGTCCATTGGCTGTACACATTTATTTATAGTGGGTGCTAATAATGTAATGGAAAATTTATTTATAAATCTACAATATTTATAAATAAATTATAAACATTAAATCAATAATTTATAAATAAATTAAAAACATTAAATCAATAAATTAACAATAAATATACTAATAGATAAAAATAAACTAATAACTCAGTTAAAAGAGAAAAAAAAGCTTGCCCATACTATAAAAATAATTGCAAACTAATTATAATTAATCTATAATTCATTACCTTGTACACCAGGGTAGAAAGGCGCTGAACCAAGTGGCGCAGAAGCTAGTAGTGGCATTCGTGCTGTATTTGCTAATAAAGGAGCAAATGTCGTAAAGTGAAACATAGGCATTGTATTAGCGATATTTATTATTAATTCTGGTGGACCTGTAGTTCGCAACAATGGGCGACAGGTAATAGGTCTTCTAATAAGTTCTACTTCACAATCTAAAACAATGAAATTTAGAGAGTATAAAAGCGAGACAATGCAAATACAAACCGTAAAAAATTATATCATTGTACATTTTATTTATAAAATAAAGTTTATATAATAAAGAACTAATAAAAGGTTATTTGCTTTTTTTATTTGTCTTGAAGTCATCTGTAAAAAAAAATATACACAAAATACTAATTATTAATAATTATTAAAACAATAGTTATATTATATATAACCAATGAAATTTGGAAGATTTTAAATCTGGTTTTCTCAAAGATTTTTTTATCAATTTTAGTAATTTCTTTTAAACAACGCATAATTAATACAATTATGTTTGATGCATAATTAACTTAATTAATTTTATCTCAACAAAAAAATTAAAATATGTTTCAAAGCTACAGCTTTAAAACATGCTAGTAATTTACTTTTTTGTAAAGTACTTACCACCATTTCCACAATTTTATGCTGTGTTACTTTATTTTTTTGAATTAACACAGAAATTTCTTATTATTCCTTTCACAATCGCCCAATAAAACTTGATGACTTGCTATTCAGGAAATTTCGGTGAATTAGTATCTTTAGAAATGACATCAACTCTTTCTTATACCACTTGATTACTTATTGAAATAAATGAATTGAATAATGATCCTGGATTCGGCCATAAAGTTGTTTTTTTTAAAAAAAATTTAATCACACGTATGAATAACAAAAAAGTTGATTTTTTAACTATAATATAGTTACTAAAACACTATAAATAAAGTGTAGAGTAATTTTTTTAACATTTTCATTGTCTTCCAAAACAAACATATTTTTCTGTCAATAATTTAAGCAATTTTTTAGCTTATCCAATTGCCTTTTTCCATCAACTGATCTTTTTTTCATTTTTTTCTTGAAATATACTTTTAGACTTTTTTTAATACTCTTTTAACAAAAAATTTACTGTATTTTAACTTTGTGGCTTAATCTTGTTGTTAATGGGTAAACTTTTGACGAATTGAATCATCTATTGATTTTGCTTTTTATTTGTTAATAATCTTAATTTTCTTTTTTAAACTTTTCTTAATTTTTAAAACTTTCAAATATAGTTTTGTTCTTCTTATAACATTTTATGATGATTCCAACAATTTTTTTTTTAATTCTGATTCACTCCCAACAAGGCTGCAAGCAACCACTATTAAGTTTTTAAGATTCACTCCCAACAAGGCTGCAAGCAACCACTATTAAGTTAAGAATTACTAGAAAAAAAGAATAGAGTTAAAGAGCAAGGAAATGATTAACAGAAGACTTAAAAAGTTTTAGGTTGTATGAGTCAAGAAAACATGAAGATGAGAGAGAGTTCCAAAGGGTTGAAGTTTGGGGAAAAAAACTAGACGAATAAAAGTTTTTAGAGCATGCAGGAACAGATACAGTAAAAAAAATGAGACTCTGCTGAATGATGAGTCAAGCGAGAATGAGTTTTAGTTGATAGAACTAGAGATGATAGCTCCTTTGAGCAGCGAGCATGCATAAGTGGCAATGACATTTGTCTGATGGGATAAACTATTTATAAGTGCTGATCCTCATCAAAACGTCAGTAATAATAGACGCGACTCTGAAGAGATGTTTATTTCTTAATCACTACACAAATTATGTTTACACATAAATATTAATGTTTTTTTTCCATTCTGAGGCCTTACATTGTTGTATGCATATTTTTTATTTTGAAGTAAATTTTTTGTTTTATAAGTTTTTGTATGGTTATATTTGTTGTATATCTTCCTTCATATTAGTGTTTATTAAACAGTATATTATTTTATAAAAGAGCATCATTAGAAGAAAGAACTTAGAAAGAACCAGCATTAGAAGAACCAAAAAGAGGACTCGGTAAGAGGGTTACCATTCATCTAAATCAAAAAGGAATGCAATAGTTGTTTGCAGTAAATAACTGAGTTTTCTTGGAGTTAATCTGTAACAGAAGTAAGATCTGCTGCGCTTGTTCTAAAGGATCGAAAATTTTCAAGACAGGAGAATAAAGTTGAGTCATCAGCAAAGAGAGCTACTTTAGATGTAAGGTTATTGGAAAGTTCATTAATGTAGATAAGAAACAAAACCAAGGATAGAACTTTGAGGTACTCCAGAAGTTACCGGAAATAAAGAAGTTACCGGAAATAAAGAAGTTACCGGAAATAAAGAAGAGTGTTGGCCTTTTCTAACCGCTTTAGTGTAGTCATTAAGGATAACTTTAGAGCAGTTAGAAAGAAACGATTTTATAATCTCAAAAACTTTCCCAGATACCAGCATGCCAAACTTTGTCAGAAGCCTTAGATATGTCAAGAGTTAGATATATCAAGTCTTAGATATGTCAAGAAAGCCTTAGATATGTCAAGAAAGCTTTAGATATGTCAAAAACCTGAAGTATGTCAAGAATTGACTTAATAACTTTACATGCTTTTGAAATTATTGAATAAAATAATGATAAAATTTCAATATAATTTTTTTTTTCAATTTTCAGACTACTTATTTAACATGACCAAATCCAAAGCACTAGTTATATACCCATTCTTTAAAAAAAAATTATTAGAATTGATTAAGAAGTTTTTAAAAAAACTATTTAAAAAAATTATACACATATTTCTACTGATCTTAGTAATATAATTGTTTTCAATTTCTTCTTTATGAATACCTTATGTAACAACTGATTTTTTGTTTATGCATACCATATCATATGGTATGCATAAACAAAAAATCAGTTGTTACATAAGGTATTCATAAAGTAGAAATTGAAAACTCTTATATTACTAAGATCAGTAGAAATATGTGTATAATTTTTTTAAACTGATGATTAACTATAATGCAGCAAAAATTTTAAAATATAAAATTATTACATAATATGTAATAATTTTAAAATTATTACATATTATGTAATAATTTTAAAATATAAAATTTTTGCTGCATAATAGTTAATCATTAGTTTAACAATAACAATTTATTAGCATGTTTTTTGAAACATTTTTTCGGAGATAAAGAAGGGATAATGACAATATTTCTTAGAAACATTTTTTCCCAAATACAACACTGATAGGGATGAAGCAGAGATGGTGACAAATTTGACGGAGATGGAAAGAAAATGGATGCAAATTTGATGGAAACAGGATAAGGATTAGAAACTTTGTAAATAGATAGGATGAGGAGGACTGAGTCACTTTTTAGTATAGCCTACCAAAGAAGTTGCTTAATGAGTCACTTTATAGTAAAAAGCCGCAGTGCAAAGAAACAAGTTGAGTGCAGTACTTCCAGGGACAATGTGAGGATTGAACTTGGAACTTCTTGCTTATAAAACAAGCACTCTACCACTACGCCACTACTGAATTAAACTACATGTTCAATTATTGAAAGCTCTATTCCAGATAACTTCACTCATGATTGCTTCTTTAGAATTATTAAAAGGTGTTTAGAACAGGAACATCGAAGATATACAATCAATTAAGCTCTGTATTGTTGCTTTATAAAGTTCAGTGGGGCATTTTTTGTATCCTCAGACAAAGTTGATGGAGTGTATTAGCTTCCCAGCCATTCTAAGATACTCTCACTTTCAGTATAGGTCAAAAGGTCTATACTGAACGGGAATATCTTGAATAATATTAAATGAATAATAATATGAAAGTTAAAATTGTGAAATGCCCCACCCCCAAGCATGTTGTAACCCTTTAAAGTGTGTTATTTTTTAGTATATATTACATATGAACATACACACATATTATAAAAATTGAAAAAGACTATTTAATTCTACATAGTAAAAAAAATAAACATACCAGTAGCAGATGCAGGGAAAGGAGCCGTTAAACTTAAAAAGGAAAAAAAGTCTAGTATAAATAAGTTTTCAAATTGGAAAACAAAACAATTACATTCTTTAAAAATATTTATACAAATATTAGACTTAGTCAATTTTTTATTTTCAACAACATTTATGCATATTATACACAAAGCTTTTTAAGAAAAATAAAATTTAATTTAAAGGAAATTTTTTTTTAGCTGATAGATCTAAATTTGATGGTTGCTTAATGATTGCCTAACCATTGCATAATGGTTAAACATAACAAAAAGATAAAATATAGAAAGATTGTTTTATATAAAATTTAAATAAAACTTTAAATAATATTTTAAACAATTAAAATGAATAATAATATGAAAGTTAAAATTATGAAATACACAATCTACAGATATTGCAAAAGCTCGTTTTATCATTAAATAAAACTTCAAAAAACTTCAATAAACATCAATACAAAAATTTGAATGAGTCACAAGGCTATCGTCAGAGAATTTCAAATCAACTTGTCAAAGTTGTTTGATTTTTATGACCTAGAACCAAGTTTTTGTTGCTTAAAATAAACTTAAAGACATAATACACATAAATTTTGTTTGCATTTGGTGATTAGGGATGACTTGTTATTCTATATTTTCAAAATAGAATGTCTCATGATATCATACTTCCTCGAAGAAATCTAATGACATTTACTAAAAATATGCAAAGACATTGTATTTCATATTTTTCACCATATTTAAACATCATAAACAGAAATGACATTTTTAATGAAAAAATTTTGATGAAGTAAATCATTAAAATGTTTCCAAATACTTTAATTTCTAAATCTAATTCCTTATACAATTCTGAAAATACATTATCAGAGGCATCTCTTACCTCATCTGGGAGAAAAGACTAAATTTATCTTTTCTCCAAGATGCATTGAAATTTGAAGTATTAATGGATGATGGGACAACATAAGACAACATTTCTAGATTGATTGTAAACTTGATTTTCTTATTTTAGCTGTAATAAAACACAGCTAAAACAAGAAAATCAATCTAGATCAATCAAAATCAAAAATCAATCTGTTTTTTGTTTAAACTTCTTTTATTTAGTTTATAATTTTCTTACTTTCTTTTATTTTGCTTTAAAAAGGTAGAGGTGGCTTTTTTATAAAAAACTTTTTTGTTTATATAAAGAATTAGAGTTAGTTGGCTCAATTTTGTAATGAATTTTGTAAGACTACAATTGTTTGAACCACAAGCCGTATATATATGTATATATATATATATATATATATATATATATATATATATATATATATATATATATATATATATATATATATATATATATATATATATATATATATATATAAAATTTTTCTTTATATATACTTTTTTAACTTGAGAATTAAAACTATTTCTTGTAAAATCCTTTTTTTAACTTGTTTTTACCTGTTACAAACAAGTTAAAAAACATTAATTTTTGTTGTTAAAAACAATTTGAAAAAAGAAACTTTAGATATAAAATGAAGCATTTTATTATCTTTTTTTAATTATTCAACTATTTCATTCATTCACTACCTATTTCATTCATTTGCCTACCTATCTTACTCACTCCACTATTAATCTAACTTGTTTAACAAGTTTTTTTTACATTTGAATAAAAAATTTATAAACAAATTTCTTACTATGGATTATTAACTCTTGGATAAGGTAGTGGTGTGTTATCTCCACAGCATATTCCCATAGCATATCTTGGTGTTGTTCTACGAATCACTGGTAAAGATGTAGTCATATGAGAGCGAAATGGCACTAATAGTAAACAATTTTTTTCCTCCATAAAACAACAGTATTATTTATAGTACTGCATTTACACATATTTAATATTATTATTAAATTAAAATAAATGTTAAAACTCAAATTTATTTTTGTTGCTCATTATACGTTTACATAATGAGCAACGTATATTGTATTATTATTATTAAATATATTTAATTGATACTATTTTTATTTTTCTATTTATTATATTTACAAAATAATAAGAAATATAAACTACTGTATTAACAAAAAAAAATTAATCTGAATAAAGTGATTTGTTTTACCACATGGCTCTTCACAAGGAGACATATTAGCAGTACCTAAAATTGAATTTCGCATATTTAATGAAAAGAAAGAGCTATAAAATCAATAATAATAAACAAGTTTTTATTTTTATAACATACATAACTCATACCACATCCTGGTAAGCATACTGGAGTAACTACTGATGGTTGAGGCTGAGAACAATAAGTAGGGCAAGGTACTGGGCATGGCACAGGACAAAGTGAGGGTGGGTGAGTTGGTACAACAGCAAATGGCGCTGGTTGTAATGGTAATGCTGGCGGTGGCGCAACAATTGCAATTTGAGCAGGAGGTGGAGGAGGAACAGCAACCACTACAGAAGGAGGAGGAGGAGCCACAGCTAAAATAACAGACATTTTTTACTTTATTAATTTGTAGCAGTAATAAGTAAATATTTACAGAAAGAGATAAAATCACAAAGTAAAACTTTAGTTTATGATACCTAAACTTAATGATAATGTTACAACACTTTATCATTATGAACCAAATTTTAATATTTTAAATGTAATAACAACTATGAAAACTATTATTAACAAATAAAAACTATAAATATAAAACATTTTTGTGGTTTGTACTTAATACATTTTCTTTTGTCTATTGTTTAACTTTTTTAATATTTACTTAAATTAAAAAAAATGCAAATATTTGTTAGTTAGAAGATTCAATTGTAATCTTAAACATTTTTCTTGCTTTAGAACAGTAGATAACTGAAGTTATCAACTTCTTCTTTTAGTACAATGGATAACTGTGGTTATCAACTTTTTCTTTTAGTACAGTGGATAACTGAAGTGATCAACTTCTTTTTTAGTGCAGTTGATAACTGTAGTTACCAACTTCATCTTTTAGTGTAAATGATAACCATAGTTATCAACTTCTTTTTTTAGTGCAGTTGATAACTGTAAAAGAAAACACAACTTGCTTTGAGACTATATTTTGCTGTTCTTTTATATTTATTACCTAATGCTAAAAGCTTACTCATAGGCACAACTTTATTTAAATTCATTTTTACTTAAGTTCTGTTTAGATTTGGAACAGCAAAACATATTTCAAAAAACAGAGAGGTTTCAGAGTGTAAAATAAAATACAATGGCATATACAAGAATATATTAATATATTAATTAAAATAATCAAATAAAAATTCTATCATAAACCAATTCTATAATAAAATATTTATACTATAAAATTTAAACATTTTATAATAGTTTATATATAAACAAATTTTATTTGTTTAATGTCATTTAAAAAGTTTCAATGATGATAATGATGATGATAATGATGATGATGTTAATGATGATGATGTTAATGATGATGATATAAAATTTCTTATTTAAATAATAAAAAAAAACTAATAAATCAAAATTAAGTACATTTAAATATTTGTACATATGAATGTAATTTATTTTCTTGATTATGTAGTTTGACTTTTATTGTTTCTATTTTTTTTAATATATATACATTCAACTATATGAATGATATACAGATAGTTCAAACCCTCAATAACTTGAATCTCCAGTAACTGAAAGTGTTTTCCAATACCCATAAAAATAAAAGTCTAACCATTTTTAAATCTCTTAAAGGTTTGAATTATTAGGAGTTTATTTAAGTTATGAAGATTTTATTTGAGTTATCGCGAGTTTATTTGAGTTATCAAGAGATTGTTCGAGTTATCAAGAGTTTATTCGAGTTATCAAGAGTTTACTGCATTAATAACCATTTTACAACATAGTTGTTATTATTAAAACAGGTACACATTTCTTATGTTTATTTAAAAAATGAATGGAGAATAACAAATAATCAAAAGGGTTGTCAGACTATCATCAAGTGCAAAGCAAACAAAAATATATGAACTTGAAAAATATGAAAACTTCTAAGCTTCATATAGTTGTAATTAAGGCATTTTCAAAATAATAAAGAAATTTTACCAAAACTGACAACCCTGCATCAGCACCCTTACAAATTAGATAGGGTTTTACCTAGATTAGGAAACCTTAATGACTGGAGGTTATTCTGGTTGTTTGGCATGAGTTGGGGATATCTTTGTTCAAATGCTATATGAATAAAGTACACAAAAACAATTTTAGAATTATATATTAAATATTTAACTCAATATTATAAAAAATAAAAATAACATTTACATATGCATTCATAAACATACATACTTGACATTAATTATATGTTAAGGTTTGAAATCCTACCAATAAAGTATTAACAAATTGTTAAAAGCTTACGAAGAGGTAAAGTTTGGCAAGGTGAGCAAATTCCTTGACTATCTGCACAGTGGCATTGTTCACAAAGCTGGCATGTCTCTTGACATCTTCGTCTAATATGAGGATTTGAACTTGCCTCTGAACACAAACCCATTTCTTTTAAATACAAACACTTCTCTTTTGGATCTAAATCTCGACACACGTTTTCTTGTGAAGGTGCTATATAACATGTTTATGACTTGTAAAAATGCTACATTAAAATATTTACATTCTTTTTCTATCTAAATTCAGATGTTTTTGAGCACAATATTAAAAAAATCACACTTCCATCATGCAACTGCAAAATGTGATAACAAAAATACCATAACTACCATAACATAATGCTTATTCATGTAAGATATCACAATATTAAAGTCCATTACAGCCATGCATGACCGAACATTAATTTCAGACCATGTATGTTATATACAATGCACATCATATATAATATAACGTGCAATATTATAACATACAATCAATTCATTCATGAGAATGTATATTTAAATAATTGGAAATTCAATATGGTATTGATATGTGATAAGGACTAGTTAAAAAAAAACAACTCATTACATATAAATTTATTATATGCAATCTGAAATTAATGTCTTCTATCAATTACCTTTCACTGGTCCAGCAGTAGCACTTGAATCACTTGATACAGATGCTAAACAAATTTTAGATTATTATGTGGTATTTCTGATTTATAAACGTTTGACTTTTTTGAATTTTTAAATAATATATAAGTAAAAATAAACAAGTATAATAAATATGATAAAATTTTATTGCTTTTAAAATAGTGACCTGGTGACTGTTGTTCTGCTAATTCTGCAACATCCTTGATGTCATTAAGATCCATTGTTTTTGCCAAGTGAGAGTGAACTTTATCCAACAGCAAATTTTTAATTAATCCCAAAGCACGGTCATCTGTAAGAGGCTTACCAAGTAATTTGTTGATTTCTGCAACTTCATTAGCTGCATGTAATCTTTTCAAGCTGCCATTGCTATCACCAGCCTGACCAATTTCTTTACCTCCCCTATTTGAGATTTTTTTATTTTCTTCATCTAAATGTCCAAACCAAAACATATTAAATGTCCGAACCAAAACATATTATGAAATTTTAACTAATTTCTAGTAATTAATTAGTTTGAGTTAGAATTAATACATAACTATGCTTGGATTAATATTTTTAAAATACCTGTATTCTGTCTCTGCAATTCAGATAGAAGTTGTTTTACAACCGGACCTGAAACTCTATGCGTTCGATTACCAATCACTACAATTGCACTCATGCCTGAAATAAATAATTATAAGTTTATTTCACCAACCAGCATTAACTGTTTTTATCTTTATTTGTTTCAATCATTATTTGGGCAATTCTATTTTAAAACATTACAAGTTACAACAAGAACATTACAAGTTACAAGTTTATTAAAAAGCGATCTCTAGTAATATAAGCATTAACACCATAATAAAAAGCAATAACACCATAATAAAAATGATAACATTTTAAAAGATTTTAATGAGACTTTAAATAGTTACCTTTTTTATTTGAATCTCTTTTTACAGCTGTAAACAAAACATAAAATTATTATATACTATAATATATATTATATATCTTAAGTATATTCTATAAAATAGTTAATAATAATGTAATAAATAGTTTGTATTTGTACACCAACAATTAGAGATATTTTATTCAATATGTTATAAGCTTGCTTAAGTTTGATATACATAAGTCTGAATCAACATTGGTGTGATTAACAATTTTAAAAACACTGGCATGGAACAAATGTAAACTTGTCTAAGCACAAATGCAAAATTACAAGTTGACAAAATTTTAAGTAAAAAAAAAAGTGTCAATTTAGGTATCAAATTTCAGTATCAATTTAGATCATAGAGTACAGATTAGAAGCTTGCTACTGAGCTAAATATGAAACTAAAGGTAACAGCTGAGCTGGAAAATGTCCTAGCACTGTAACGATAATAGAAGAGAAAAAGCAAACTAATTAGACAACAGCCTTTTAATTATTAAAATATTTCATTTTATCATTAATACTCAAACTAATCAATATCATTTTCAAAAATCTGTAGAATAATTGGAGTTAACGCAGTGCTTCCTCAGTCCCAGACTTCTCAGTCTGTGACTGGTTTTTGAAACCAGTCACAGCTAATATAGTCACTCTAATTATATGCAATTATTATAAAACTATGCAATGTAAATAAAAACTATAAAATGTACTATGAATTATCTTTAACTATATTCAAGTATGTATACTACTGATGAGCATATATATTCTAGTGCAGTGAAATTAAACCTGATGAAGATGGACCAGGTGATAATGAATTTTATTATTTTTCAGAAAATTCAAAACCTTTGTTATTTAAACAGAATGAGTTAAACAAATTGGTAAGATATTGGTAAGAAATTTCAAATTGGTAAGATTTTGGTAAGAAAATCAGTTTAAATAAAGTAAAATCTGAATTATTTGTGTCTTGGCTAAAGAAAAAGTATTTATTGGCACTTGGAACATCTAACTATTAATTTAGAATATATAATTTAGAACATTAACAATAGATTCATCTCAAGCTTAAAAACTTTTAAATAATGTACTTAAGTTGATTATTCAGCAAATTTTGAAATAAAATTTAAACTTTATTGTGAAAGAACCATGTATGGGACAAAGTAAAATGGAGGTGTATTTGATCAAAAAACCTCCAATAAAGGATTTTTTAATGACCTGTGTAATTTAAGCAGCCCTCGGAATTAGGCAAAAATAAGGTTGGCAATAATTTGCCAACATTAATCTGTGTGAGGTCGGCATCAGGTCGGCAGAAAAAATGTAAAACAAAGGTTTGATTATAAAACAAAGAAACAAGGTTAACAATTTTTTGCTGTCCTCAAATACTTCTAGGTCAGCAATTAGGTCGGCATTGCTGAATGCCAATCATAATTCTGAAGGTTGAATTTAAGTTAATTTCACATTAAGTTACATACTGTTTTACTATAAATTATTCACAAAGTAATTTAAATTTAAAAAAATAACCCACCTGAGTCAACACCTTTTTTATCTCCAATCATGGTGGATGTGTTTGTGTGTGAAATGCTTTTTGCTATAAGATGTTTTTAAAGGTTTTATTTTATGTGAACTTTACTTATTTGATTTTCATTACACAGTGGACCACACACTAGACAGTCAATTATATATATATATATATATATATATATATATATATATATATATAGGCCTCAGCAGGATATATATATATATATATATATATATATATATATTATATATATATATATATATATATATATATATATATATATATATATATAAAATATATATATTTATATTATATGCATGAGTATATTATATACAGGAGTGTACAGAGGGTTGGAGATTTAGTTAAAAATATTTGATATTTTTAAGAAGAAACTAAAAACATCTTTAAATTTATTTGTGTAAAAGAAACTTGTTTTTGTGAAACTCTGTTAAAATAATTTAATTATTACAAATTTAGCATTTAGCATAGCAGAAAACATTGCACATAACATTAGGAAAAATGTTATTGTTTCTGACAATGATAAAGATTTGTAAGCATTAGGTTAACTATAACAAAATGTTGGCAGATATTATTGATGATATTATTGACGTCATCATATTATTTAAACTTGCATTAAATGTATTTTAAGGTAATAAAAGAAAGAAAAAATTCAAAATGTTTCACAAGCATTTTCTTCTGTCACTCTGCATTTGGCCCATTGTGTAAGTTGCAGTATTAGTAGTCAAAATACAAATAATAGAACAAAATGTATAATTAAAACATAAATAATACAAATAAACAAAATAAACAAAACTGATTTTAAAAAATATGATAAATAGAAAAAGTATTGTAAAAAAAACCTTCAATGACAGACTTTTGAATATCTTCCTTTGCTGGTAATTCAACAGGCTCAGTCTCATTTTTTAATTTAATATCCTCTGCATTATAATGATTTCGCAAAAGAAAATGAGAACGTTTTTCTGGAACTAAAATTTATTAAACCATAACATTAAATATTTTACAAATAAGATAAAAAAAAAAAAAGTTATAAACATATATATATATATATACTCGGTTAATGCCTTTTTTTACAACTTAACATGATTATACAAAACAAGTTTGATCTTACAAATCAAAAATGAAAAAAAAACTTGTTTTATATTGTTAGAAAGTAATTTATGTTTTTTTAAAAATTATTTTAAAACAAAATTTTAAAAATCCAAACAACTCAATATATACATATTATTTGTTATTATTGAATCATTAAATCTTGTAGTGTTTACATTTAGGTAAAAAATATTTTATGGTTAATTTTTTTAATTATTAAAATTTCTAGCCTCTTTATTATTATAAAATTTAACTTTAACCAACGAAAGCATATTTGTCATTTCAGGTCTTTAACATCCTGGTGTTTAAGACTTTGAAATAAAAAAGCCTGACAACAACACTTTAGAAAAATTTCCAAGACAATCTTATTACTGATCTTTTATCAGTTAATTTTCTCAAAAGTTTGGATATCTTTTAATCAGGAGCAACAAACAAAAATTTCTGTTTTTCTCCTAAATATTTTCATTAACCCAATTTTAGTATATATTGTTTTAAAATTTATATTGCAGTTTAATAATAAAAATGTGATTGTGATATATAATAAATACAAATAATAAAGCAGAACTAAAACTTCTCTTTCAATCAAATGCAATGTTTGTTAACCATTTTATTAAAAACTGTTTACAGCAAATACTACAGATAAAAAACTTGATTTACATATTTTATATATTTTTCACTAATATTATAAAACATGAAAACACACTCTTGCCTTTTTTAACAAAATAAAATAAACTATTTAATTTAAATATCAAACTATTTAAAGTTATGGTGGTCAACTCACTTTTACTTATGCAGTAACTTTTGCTAAATTAATCTTTCAACACTTAATCCTACAGCACAAACCTTGAGGAGCATGACTGTTGTGTAGCGAAACAAGTTAAACATGATACTACTAAAGATTTTGTGGGGATAGAACTTAATACTTCTTGCTTTTGAGACAAGCACTACTGGATTAAAAAGTAAGAAAAGCAATCTTTAATCCAACCTTTTTGCTATTAAATTTTTTGTGTTTTTTAACTTTCCTAATATTCCATCCTACTAATACCAAAAGTAAAAAGTGTTTGAAATGTAACAGTTGAGAAAAAAGTTTTTTCAATTTTGTTGCCATGCAACAACAACAATAATAACAAAAATACCAGAAGAAAAAACTCATAACTTATGACATAATCATATATGACTATTTGATAAATTATTCAATAAAACATGTTTTACATAGTATTGTTTATAGTAACAAATGAAATGATATGTAACTTCTTGCAATGCAAGGAAAAAATCGCTTGTTTGTTTTAATTCTTGATGTTGATTTGATTCAACATGCTCTACCTGTTAGATTCTACCTGCTCTAGCAGTCAAAATTTTTAAATTGTTGTAAGATTGTGTTAGAATTAAACATGGATATCCAGGAACAATCCTGATACAATTGCTTATATTGCTGGACTTGCTATAATAGTCAAGTTCTGTTAAAATGTAGTAATTTGTGTTAGGTAGTCCTAACACTATTTAATAAGATTAGTAGCAGAGAGTGACCTAAAACAGGCTCCTTTTCAAAAAATGATAGAAGAAATGCTAGAAGCTTATTTTCCATGGAAATAGCCTAAAATGGGCCTCTTAATTAATATCTGAGTAAAAGCCTAATTATTAATCTTAAATTGACTATTAATGATTTGTATTGATACATAATCTTCTGTTCATTATTCACATTAAAAACTGACACTCTGAGTTAAGAAAAATTGACAATAACTTCAATTATAGTCAAACTAAAATAAATTAAGCCCAATAAAATTTTAATAGTACTTTCAAATATTTTATTTGCCTAAAATTAACAATAAAAAAAACTATTTTTTGAATGGTTTTCTTGTGTTTATGGTCAGCTGAACAATATTTTACAATTAAGCTTGTAATAGTTATTATTACAAGCTTAATTGTAATAATAACTATTACAAGAAAGAGATTCGATAGGGGCCCATTTTAGACCACTTTCCCCCTATCTTAGATACCCAGGATTAACCCTAAACGCAGTCATTTTTGTCTAAAATATGCTGGATATTTCACCACAGAGTTCAAGAAACCTTATTACTAGTCAAACTTAGATTTGAAGCTACTAAAATCCAAACACTTAGTCAACCAGACTCTTGTTAACTTTAGTATCTCATCAGAAAAATTGTGTGTCAACTTTAATTTTCAGTATAAAATAGATATTGTAAGTATAAAACAAACATGTCAGAAACAAGGAAATTTCTGTATTTACGACTGCCTGCTTCTTACAGATAACAGCTTTCAATTTTTAACTTAAAATATCTGTTCTCATACGGATTTTTAAATTTTTCAAATAAACGCGCGTGCCTCTCAAAATTAGCAAATCAGATCGTTTATTTTTAGTTTTCAAAGATGTCTCCAATCAGGTAAGTTTAATGGATTTGTATTTGTAGAGCAACTTTATGTGAGAATTTTATGTGGAATTTTCCGTCTCCATTAATGATGTCACTTCTTTAGTAAAAATAGCTCGGGCGTCGATTTTAGATAATTGTTTTACAATCGAAGTACTCGATACAAAGTACTCGATACGAAGTAATCAATACGAAGTCGGAGTCCAGAATCCAGGAGCCCCTGTTTTTACCCGGAGTCCAGAGTCCCGCCTGTTGTAAAAAATGTTGGTACTTCAGGACTTCAGCATATAGAAGTAGTAAAACAAAAAATCTATTGCTCTTGTTTAATCTGAAGCCTCTAGGCACCTAATATATTTTTTAATATTTACTCTGACTTTCTAAAACCTATATTTATGAAACAAAATGTATGAAAACCTAATAGACCATTTTAAAGAAACCCACAATAAAAAGGAACAAGACTATGCCTGCAAACCAAACAAAAATCAATAAGAAACTTTGCTACAAACACAAACTTAATTTTCAGGTGTTAAATGACTAAAAGCATTTTAAGGATGCTATAACTAATGTTGCTTGAAATATTTAGATAAATGGGTAAAATCAAAAATCAATATTAATTGAAATCTTTTTTTAAATGTTAAAACTGTTTTTGAAATCTTAAAATCAACAAACGAATTCGCGGCGCTTTGGTTAGCGTTGCTAACGTTTGTATGTGTGTTTTTTAGGAAGAATTAAATGTTATCACAGAAGAATTAATTCTTCTGTTATCACAGAGCACCGCGGAGTTGCATTTAATGAGGAGAATGCAACCCATTTTCTTACAGGTGGTGCCTTTTAATTATATGGTCAGTGCTTTAAACATTGTGATAAGGCTGCCTAAACTTTTATAGTATATTAAAGATTTATTAAAATTGGCTAAAATTAATTGAACGAATAAAAAATTGCTAAAGAAAAAAAATGTAGATAATTACTTAGTTTTTACTTAATTAAGCTTAGATAATTAATATGTAATTGAAGCAGTTTACTTTTAAATTCAATATCAAAACTTTATTTTAACATGTTTGAATGATTAGATGAAAGTTTTTTGTTAGGAATTCATACTCGTAGCCGTTGGGTATTTTAAATAAAATTTTTTTCTGTTAAGTCGCTAAGAAAACTGTTGTCATTGACAACTAATGTTGTCATTGACAGCTGATGTTGCCATTGACAACCTATGTTGTTATTGATAACATTAGTTGTCATTTTGATACTATACGATTGGTAAATATTACATAGGTAACTTTAATCATACAGACAATCACCTTACTTGTACTTGCGTTAACATGTTTTTCTACAAGTAGGCTTAAGGGTGGTGCAAGAACTTCCATATCAGTTGTTGTATTTGCTTGAACTGATCTATTCGAAGGTTTTTCAATTACATCTTTTCTATGTAAACTCTTTTGAGAAGATACTAAATTAAATATAAGAAAAATAAAAACTTTCTGTACTTTTAATGCGTTCTTGTTCAACGCGTGCAGATTTGAAGCCTAATGCATTATTTTGCATTTATTAATATAATTAGTTAAAAATTCGTAGTAATTACAATGAATCATTAATTGTTACATCCGACTATTTGCCCGTCAAAAATACTCACCTTTTTCTCTTTTTTTTAAATCTGGCAAATGTTTAAATCGACCATCAAACGCCAATAGTTCGGACGATAAAAATAATAGCGTCAATGTGCAAATCAGCTTCATGTTCCAAATATGTGCGTGTGCTGTGTGAAGGTACTCTTCGCCTTCATCTCAACTAACTTCTCATATTACAAATAAAGCTAATCGCGTTATTATTAATGTACTATTTCATGTGCTAATTGGTGTGCGGTGCGTAAAAATAAATGTTTATGAATGTTTTATATATTAAAATTTAACATTTAATCTCACTTTTAATAATTCAATTTTTGCGCAAGATTTCTTGTAAACCAATGGGATGGAACGAGTTTGTGTTCAATGTGCAACCAACCGTGCAATATTTAATTTTAAAAAATTTAACTGGGCTGCAGTATTTCTCATACTCGGTTTTATTTTTAATTTTAATGACTTTAAGGAGTTTTCCCTTTTACTTTGAAAAATAAGAGGCCATATTTAGAAATAAGTTTAGCTTCAACCAAATATTTATATAAGGTCAGTCTGCACTGATCTTGGGTATCTAATCTCCGAATAAAAATGTCCATTTAAATATTATACTAAAATAAAAAATATTTAAGATTATTTTTCATTTTTTGACCGAAAATTTATAATGACCGAAATTATTATTATCGAAAACCGAAATTCGCCAAAACTGAAAATGTTTGAATTTACAAACCGAAACCGAAATTTCGGTTATAAAGCTCCCAAAACCGAAACCAAAAATTGAAAACAGTTTTTTAAAATGAGAAAACATATTTTATTTGTGATTTTATACCAGTTTTATGCAAGAGCTTGTTAATTTTGAAAGTTATTCATTAAAAAATTTCTGTACTAAACAAACTTTTTCCAAGTAAGGGGTCGTCCATAAATTACGTCACGCAGTTTTTGACACTTTTTTGACCCACCACCCACCCACCCTCGTAACGCATCCGTTACACTTTATTGACCCTCCCCCCCCCCCCACACACAATTTCACGCAACAATTTCGTACCCCCCCCCTTCCCTTAAAAAAAAACTTTTTCAAAGTATTTTTAGAGAGAATGCGAGGGGTGCCCAATTTTACAAAATACTGAACGATTTTAAATATAATAATGTCTATAATTCTCTGAGTTTTTTTGAGTTAATTAATTAGTACTTTTCAGTCTGTTTAATGTTTTTTTTCACCCTAATAGTTCCGTGTAAAATTGTATAAATCATCATCGCTCTTCCTAAACATGATACCAATTTTAAAAATCTATTTTCCGAAATATAATATATGCAAAATATTATATAAAATCAAAACATCCCCCTTCCCCTCGTAACAAATCGTCACAAAATCGCCTATCCCTCCCCTCCCCCCCCCCAAAGCATGACGTAATTTATGGACAACCTCTTAAGAAAAGATTTGATTGGGTTGTATTCAATATCAACCACTCATTTAAAAGCTTACCCGTTGTGATTTAAAAACCACTGATATTAACACAAACATTTAAAAAGAATAATTGCGTAGATCATTATGGCAAAATCGTGTTGATGTATAAAATCATATCGTAAGTGACGCTTCACGTTCAATCCAAGTACAATAAGAAATATATATATGTATATATATATATATATATATATTATATATATATATATATATATATATATATATATATATATATATATATATATATATATATATATATATATATATATATATATATACTTAAAATAATTTGTTTTTAAGCTTTTAAAACAACCATAACATTTAAGTGTTGTGGTTCATCCACTTCTAGCTAGTTGCCGTACAAAGGCAAACTATAACGTTTGAGAAAAGTTTTTCAAATCAGGTTATATAGTAATTTTAACTTGACTTATTATAGATTTTTTTTAAATATAAACCACCTTGTTTAAAAAAGTTGGAAAACAAATTAACAGTTTTAGCATTCTATAAAGACAGAAGCCAACGCTGAATCCTAGTTAAAATACAGAAGCCAACGCTGAATCCTAGTTAAAATACAACTAATTGTATAAGTAAAGTTTGAAAGTTCGTTGCTAAGATGTTTAAAATGCAAAAACCTGTATCGGAAAAAAATCTTTGCTTAAATATTAATATAAAACTTTATTATAGTAGACATAAAGATATATAAAGAATTATAAAGAATATAGTATATATAAAGAATTAAACCAACAGAACATTGTTTGAATACTCTATATATTTTAGGCTCTATGAATAAAAATATTCTACAATATGGAAAACAATGACAAAAATAAGTACAGTATAAGAGCATCTGAATTAAATTAAGAATTTTTTTTATCCTCAAAAAGTTACACATCTTTTTATTTATTGCATTTACTTTAAAAAAGTGGCCTGTGATAGCAAAACAAGACAATATATAGATTGCATTATTGTTTTTATTAAATAATAATTAGTAATAAAAATATAATATTAATTTTAGACATTTCGTTTTTTGTTCCGAAAAATAGTTCGCAATAAAAAAGAAATCATTGTTCGTTACCTCGTTAATGAATGATGTTAAACTTAAATGTTGCATTTAAAATTTGTCAGTAAACAAATGCCCAACGCGCATTTGTTTTAAAAATTACATTCTGAATATCTTTTTAACAATTTTTAAACGTCTTCTAAACGTTCTAAACCTCAAAAAGTTAAGAGGACTTTTAAAAATTAAAGATTTCATTCATTAAAGAGATAACGAACAACGATATGAACTAATTTTTGCAACAACAAAGAAATGCTTAATATTAAGAACCAGTCTTTCTTAAAATTAATTTAACTAATATATATCTAGCTGTGATACAAGCTTGAATTTGTCAACTAAATAATTATTTAAGAACAGATGGAACTTAACATCTTCATATATAAATTCGACTTTTTTGATTGCAGATTGTTCAGAACAGTTCTCTTTAAAGAAGATGAGTTCTCTTTAACAGAGTTTTAAAGAAGATGAGTTTAAAGAACTTTGAAGAAGATGAGTTCTCTTTAACAGAATAGTTCTCTTTAAAGAATATGAATAAAACTGTTGAGCTATTATGTATTACGTTAGAGTGTTTGATAAATAAAATTTTAAGGATATGAAGTACTTTACTACAGAAATAGCGTTCACAAATATAAGAACTTTAGCAATAAACATTTCTCACTTAATACTAATGCTCTGAAAAATACATGTGTCAATCTAAAAAGTGACTTTTGTCGTCCTTGACAGATGAATAAAAAATTGTGAATATTTATTCAATCATATCAATTTGTGACTACTTTTTTGAAAAAAATATCTAAAAAATAAAAGGGTTTTGGCCCTCTGTCTTAGAAACAGATTGTGCTATCTATACTAAAATATCGATGATTAAGAAATTTAATAATTTTATTTTATATAAATATAATGAGACAAATATCTTCAGATATTGATCTGGTCAAATAAAGTTTTGAGAAAGTCTGATATATTGATCTTTTCCGTAAGCATGCTTCATATGTGTGTCGACTTTTTAAATCATCTTCTTGATAATCTATTTGCTTAATGATAGAATAATATACACTTGTCTTGATTTGCTAATTATAGAATTATATAATCTATTTGCTTAATGATAGAATAATATATACTTGTCTTGATTTGCTAATGATAAAATTATATACACTTGTCTTGATTTGCTAATGAGTGAATTATAACCTAAATAAAATTTAGTTAATTATATTATATAAAGGATGATGAATTCTAATGAAGGGAAACACTCAAAGTAAGTCTACTCTCTACTTTATGTCTTCTCCAATTATTCTTCCCTACTAAGCTCTTATGGAAACCATCAATACACCTATTGTAAAGTTGTTCTACTAAAGTTACTTCTCTTTTTAGTGGTCAACATTTTTTTACTCCTAATTGCGTTCTCTACATTTATAAATCTTTTATTTATCCTTGTATAAAACACTGATGTCACGTTTTCGCTTTTAATGAGATCCTTTCTTTTTCAATTAAGATTGAAATATGCTTTGTAAATGTTGTTTAATCTGCTTTAGCAGCCAAGCTCACGATTCTCTTCCATTGTTGCGTGGCTGCATCTCGTTCTCTTTTCTACACTTACTATCATGGTTGCTACTCATAAGAACATACTGGACGCCAATGCTGTTCAAAATCATAATATGAGTAAAAAAATATATTAATATTTAAAAAAATAATAATACAGAAATTCTTACTACAAAAATATTTCTTTCATGTACAAAACCCTGGGTGGCATCCAAAAATCAAAAAATTAAAGAAACTTATTATCATTTTTTATTTTTATTTTGCTATTTAAGTGCCCCAAGAAGACCTAACGGTCTTGTCACAGAGCACAGCGGAAGAGCATTTAACCTGAAAGTTACCGTGACGCGAAAATATGTCCTAAGCTCGTTTCGAACCTGGATCTCTTGCTACTAAAGCAAGCGCTCTAACCACTACGCCACGGCCGCACCTTTTTGACCTGGATCTTCTGCTACTAAAGCAAGCGCTCTAACTACTGCGCCACGGCCGCACATCTTTGACCTAATCAAGTAAAACCTAATAACTTTTCTATAATAATATTAATCAAAGAGGTTTATCGTTGCCTTACAAAAAAATATTCTTATACAGGATATAACGTATTTAAAGATTCATTGAAAGTATACATTCTGCTAAACAAGCACTTTGAAAAATTGTGCGGCGTGGCGCAGTGGTTATAGTGCTTGCTTTCTAAGCAGGAGATCCAGGTTCGAAAAGAGTTTTGGACATATTTTTGCGTCACGGAAGGAGGCGTGAACTTCCTGGTTAAATGCACTTCCGCGGTACTCTGTGACAAGACCGTTAGGTCTTCTTGGACTGCACTGCCAAGGAGATTTAGTGAAGGGGGTTCTACAACGTCGTAGACGTTGTAGAATCCCCATCACTAAATCTCCTCAAACATTTCATTAAACATACTCTGAGCATCCTATTTTGGACTCCCAATATTTACAAGACTTACAATTTTTAGCTAAGGTTTGTGTGTCAATGCATTTATTGTTAGAAATTAAAGTAACGGCTGCATTTAATGAAGATAATCCACGACACTGCCAAGTACCGTCAACACTAACAGTTACATTTTTAATTACATTGACGTTATTGTTAAATGACGCACGTCCTGCAGAACCATTGTCAACACATTGCAGAGCCGCCAGAGACATTGATTCAGAACAAGCTTTTAAATATGCACTGTGCATTTTTTCTGCAATGTCATTTTACGTTGGTAAACTCATTGGTGGTGGAATATTCATGACATTACAAAATGTCTTTATGGCACTTT